CTTTACAGTCGCATGGATCTGCAGCGGATCGGAGCGCTGGCCGTGAACCCCTTGGGAGACCGCATTATAGAAAGCTTCTTCCCCGACGGGTGAGGCCCCGCTGGGGGTGGGGAGGTGTCGGTGAAAAAACCTGCGTGTGGGTGGGTCGGAGGCAGGCGACAGACTGGGCCAGAGGGACGGCCAAGGTGACCACTGCCTCCCTCCAACCCACCCCCAGGGGTCAGCAAGTGGATTTCGCAGGCTTTGCCAGGGTCCTGGCTCATTTTCGACCTGTAGATGATGAGGACATAGGAAACCGAGATCCCAAGCAACCTGAGCCCCTCAACAGCAGAACGAACAAACTTCGCTGTGAGTTTGTGGGTACCCACCCAAGATTTACCCACACCAGCGAGAGACCCTAGGAACCACCCGCTCCCTTTGTGAGCCTGTTGATGACCTCCCCGCTCCTCCAGGGTGACCTTCTGCTGGAAGAGAACCAGGGGAGACCCACCTCCCGTTACCCCTCTGCTCTCTCTCCAGTTGCATTTCAGCTCTATGACCTGGATCGAGACGGAAAGATCTCCAGGCGTGAGATGCTGCAGGTAGAGACAGCACGAGGGCAAGAGCTGTGATGAGTGAGGGGGCGGAAGGTGTGGGGGGTGGGGCGGGATGACTGGTGGGTGGGGGTGCAGAAAAACGGGTATTGGGTGGGAAATGGGAGTGCATGGGGTTGCAGCGTGGGTTAGTTGGGAGATGGGGTGAGGAGCGGTTGGGTATGAGGTTGAAAATAGATCAGCGATTCTCAACTGGGGAGATTTTATCCCCCGAGTGAACATTTGGCAGTATCTGGAGGCACTTTTGGTTTTCACAACTGGGGAGAGAGTGTGCTCATGGCATCTAGGAGGCAGAGGTCAGGAATGTTGCTATACACGGTGCAATACACAGGACAGCCTCCCACAAGGAGTTATCTGGCCCCAAATGTCCATAGTGCCAAGAATGAGAGACTCTGGAATAGATGTGATGAAGCAGGGCTGGAGCTGGGAATAGTCAGAGGGTGAGAGGAGAAAGGCGAGGAGGAGGATGGGTTGTAAGGCTGGGGTAATGAGGTTGAGCATGTTGTTGAGGTGAGTGACGGATGGTGAGGCATAGATGGCAGGTTGGATGGTGAAGCCAATAATTGGGGGATATGGTGGGAGGTGACTGGGATGGGGTGAAAAATGGATGGGGGATGGATTATGAAATTGGTAATAACTTTCAGGGTGAGGTGGGCAAGGTTTTTGAAATGAGGGGAATAGCCTTTGTGCCTCCTCTTCACGGCTGCCCCTTCCCTCACCTGGCAGGTTCTCCGGCTGATGGTCGGGGTCCAGGTGACAGAAGAGCAGCTAGAGAGCATTGCTGACCGCACAGTGCAGGAGGCTGATGAAGATGGAGATGGGGCTGTGTCCTTCCTGGAGTTCACTAAGGTCAGAATGCCCTGAGGGACTGGAGAGTTGAGATCAGGAGTCCCTAGGACAGATGGACGTGGGAAATGAAGTTCAAAGGAGGAGGGCAGAAAGACAGGGGTTCCTAGGGAATGGTGGGGCCTTAAGGATGGGTAGAACCCTGGGGGGGGAGCAGGAAGCAGAGAATTGGGGTTCAAGCCTTTTGACTATGACCCATCTTCTCCCAGTCCTTAGAGAAGATGAACATTGAGCAAAAAATGAGCATCCGGATCCTGAAGTGACTCCTTGTGCCTTCGTCTAGCTCATGCAGACCAGTATCTGCCTGGGATTCATCCTCAGCCCCCATGGAGGCAGGACCCCAATAAACTGTCTTCTTACTTCTGAACTGAACTCTGTTTGGGATCAAGGAGAAGGAAGGGCGTGTACTAAAGTCTAGCTTGTTTGATCTCAGATCTGTGAATTAGCCACAATTGTTTGACTGCAAACCCAACTCAAAGTGACTTAAGTAAAAAAGGGATTTTATGGGCTCATGTAATTAAAAAGTCTGGAGGTATTTGTCTTCAGGCACTGCTGGATCTAAGGGTACAAATGATGTCAGGACTCAGTTATTCTCCATTTCAACTCTGCTTTCTTCTGTGTTGGCTTCATTCTCAGGAGGGCTCTTTCCTCGTGGTGGGGAATGGCCACCAGCAGCTCCAGGCTTCCATCCTGCTCACCTAGGAACCCAGTAGCGAGAGATGTTCTTATTCCAAATTCCAAGCAAAGAGTGTTGTTGGCCCAACTGGGGTCTTGTCCCTATCTCCAGGGGAATGGAATACTCTAATTGGCCAGGTCTGTCTCATGTGCTAATTCCTAGAACCAGGAAATAACATCTGAGGACTCAGGATGGGGTGAGGGGTGGCTGGGTGGAAAATGAGGTGCTATTTTCAGAAGAAGGACGAATGATGCTGCTCAGGCAAAATAAGAGATGTCCATTACCATTTGGTTGGCCACATGGAGGAGCCCTTGAAGTCTGGTCTCTTAAGTGGTGTCTTAGTTCATTCTATGCTGCTACAACAAACTACCAGAGACTGGGTAATTTATAAAGAAAAAAATTTATTTGGCTCATGGTCCTGGAGGCTGAGAAGTCCAAGGATATGGCACTGGCATCTGGTGAGGGCCCTCTTGCTGCATCATGTCATGGTGGATGACAGAAGGGCATGAGAGCATGTCTGTGAGAGAGAGGGAGGGAGGGAGAGAGAGAGAGAGAGAGAGAGAGAGAGAGAGAGAGAGAGAAACCAAACTCACAGCTCAGGTCTTTTGTAATCAGCATTAATCATTCCTGTTAGGTCCCTCCCATTAGGCCTCTCCCAACGCTGTTGCACTGGGGATTAAATTTCCAACACGTGATTTTTAGGGGACATATTCAAATTATAGCAAATGGGTTTTCACTGATCTCATGGGTGCATGCCAGTTTGATGGGGACGGGTGGGGGTAGATGATGGGAAAACTCCTGTTAGGTCCCTCCCATTAGGCCTCTCCCAACGCTGTTGCACTGGGGATTAAATTTCCAACATGTGATTTTTAGGGGACATATTCAAATTATAGCAAATGGGTTTTCACTGATCTCATGGGTGCATGCCAGTTTGATGGGGATGGGTGGGGGTAGATGATGGGAAAAGGATGGGGACGGGTGGGGGTAGATGATGGGAAAACTAAGTAATAAAGATACATACTTTTCTAGAGTGTGAAATTATTCAGATTTGGGGAATAATCCTGTTTTCATGGTGAGATGTTCACACACTGCCCTATCACAGAATAGGGTGTAAAAGTCAAGTAAAACCGTGAGATTCTGTCTGCAGCAGAGCGCTCTGGCTGCTCTTGCAGGAGATGTTGCAGTTCTCTGTTCATTTCCCCTCCAGGAGTTGGCTGGAGTTGTTGTATCAACACACGAGAACCAGTCGTGCTCTTATCTTCTCAACTCTGTTTTCAGTGATGTCATGTTGGTAGCCTGGGAATATTTATACCACAGACATTGGCAAATACAACAGGTCAGGGATTTTGCCCCTAGGAGAGCCAGGTGTTAGACATTTATCAGCACACCACCTGCCTGACAGGAGCCACTGGCTTCTCCCTACACTCACCTGGGATGCTCTGCGTGGGGGTTCTGCCTGGCATAGGCATTGTACTCAGCCTGTGTGAGGGGCAGGTTGGAAGTGCCAGGGAGTCAGTGACCCTAGGAACAGCTTTTAACTAATGACAGATGAAAATTACTGGAAAAATACCCAGTTACTTCACCCCTCAAGGGGGACAATTTAGAGGCATGTTCTCTTCATTCTCATAGACTTATGCGGGAGATTTGAAACCCCATTGCCCACAGTGTTTACCTGCTTGCTGAAGCACCCTGTACTGGCTTCCTTCCCTTCCTGTCTCACTTGCCCACTTTCCATAGGAGCTTTCTGGATCACCTCACAAATAAACAACTTGCTTTTCAATCTCCGGGTGCTTCTGGCAAAACTCAACCTGAGATGCACCAGACCTTCCAGAACACAAGCTCACACACATCTGTGGTTGTGGCTAGACAGTGGGACGCTTTGAAGAAGCACTGCATTAAAGGATGGTACAGCTCCTGGCATTTTCGCATTTTCGGGAGTTTGAAGTCATGTAAAAATACTAGGCACCTTTGCAGCTCTAGGAACCTGGAATCGTCTGGGGCAGTGTTTTAAACCCATTTCGACTTTTATGTTTTTTCTTTTTCTTTCTTTCTTTCTTTCTTTTTTTTTTTTTAAAAGGGGATCTTCACCCTTGACTTGGTGTTGTCAGCACCACGTTCTCCCAAGTGAGTTAACCGGCCACCCCCATATAGGGATCTGAACCCATGGCCTTGGTGTTATCAGCACCGCACTCTCCCAAGTGAGCCACAGGCCGGCCCCTCGACTTTTATGTTTTGATTATAGTATGAGTCTGACAGATGAGTCTTATAGTTGAAGGGGATGAGAGAGGGGCGACAGGGGGATGTTCAATTCCTTAGAATATTTTGTGATTTCATCAGAGGATTGCCACATGAGAAGGACTTTCTGATTGAGGGTTATTTGTTTAGTTTTTGGCCCCATTTAAAGGCAGGGGTGAGGGGAATAAAACTCACAGAATGGCCATTTTTTCCAGGCACTGTAAGGGAGGATTTGTATAGAGAGAGAAATAGAGGAGACAGGTGAGGGTAAGGAGAGAGAGAGTGAGAGAAAGAGAGGGTCTTTCTTTACAGCTGGTCTTTTTTCTATTACAGTGTTTCTCAAATTTTCCTGATGGTGAATTTCATCTGATTCAAAAGTTCAGACCCTTTGGTCCCACTTGAGAACTCCTAAGTCTCTGGGAAAATCTATATTTTTAATAAGTGACTGTGATGCTAGAAGTTCAAGGTCCAGATTTTGAGAAATGCTGACTTAACAGCTTCCAGCCAGGCTGCTAATGAGCACCGAGCATGACCGCTGGTCCACAGGCACCTAAGAAAGGTCTCCCCATCCACTCATGCCCACACCAGCTCTGGGGACTCAGTGCCAATGGCGGTGCTCCTGATCTAGTGAGGATACTGGAGGGCCCAAGGGATCCCCAAGACTCCACTCACTATGGCGGTGTTTGGGAGAGCAAACTTCCCCCACTCTCCCTCAGCATGAAAGCCCCCTGATCCCCCCCCCCCAAGCTCAGGAGGTTGGAGAACTTGGTCACGCAGGTAAGGGACATCATTCTGGCTGCTGCAGCACAAGCTGCTGAACCCCACCCTCCTGATGTCAACTCTACCAGAGATGCCTGTGGATTTGTTCCAGGGGGGGCCTGATGACACTGGTGGGGCACTTCTGTGAGCAGTTGGCAATTTTCAGTGATTTGTTTATCACCCTTGTTACTGTAGCCATTCGGTACCTACCACCTGTACCATTATTTACTTATTTGTCTATGAATGGACTCATTTAAAATTTACATATTTGAATTTATGAAAAATTGTGTCTTACTCCCATAAATTAAAAACCAGCATCAATTGCTATAAATAAAATAACTATGTAAACATAGTACAGACGAAGGAACAAACAAACAAAAAAGTTTAAAAGAGGGGGAGGTTAGCAAGTATTAAAGAGTTATAAAAGACACACCTGCTCTAAACAGAGACTGGTGGTCTAAAGAATGGAAAAAGGGGCTAACCAGTTAGCTCACTTGATTAGAGTACAGTGTTGTAACACCAAGGTCAAGGATTCGGATCCCCATCCAACAAGCTGTCCCCTCCATCCCCACCCAAAAAACTGGAAAAAGAATTGATAAGGAAACAGCTTTTTCACTTTGTGATTCAATGTTATTGAAGCCTATGCTGTTACTGAAGGATTCGGATCCCCATCCAACAAGCTGTCCCCTCCATCCCCACCCAAAAAACTGGAAAAATAATTGATAAGGAAACAGCTTTTTCACTTTGTGATTCAATGTTATTGAAGCCTATGCTGTTACTACCAAAAATCTTCTTGTATATATGAGTGGTATGTTACCCACACTTTGGGAACCACTGTTGGGGAGAACTGTGAGGAAATAAAGTTAGGTTGAACCTGCCTCCCACAGGGATCTTCTGGAGGAAGCCAACAGTGGGCTGGACATATGACCCTCGGGCCGGCCACTGGTCAGGTTGCATTTCGTAGAGGTTGGCCATCAACCTGGAGTTCACTCACCAGGGCGGCTCCAGGGGCAAGTAGCAGGGCATCATGATAGGTGCTTTATGGAGGTGGAAATATTAAAAGCAATAGCCCTGTGCTGACATTTGTCTCCAGAATCTGGTAAGACTGTGAGCTAGGAGACAGGACTTATGAACTTGCCCGGTTCTTGCAGGGCTAAGACGGAAGAGGCCCCACAGGAGAAGCTGGAGGCAGCTCTAGTCCTCATGCTCATGATCCTCACTTGAGAGGGGATACCAGAGAGGAGAGGGATGGGCACTGGAGTGGTCCCAGCTTGTACTCCTGGGGGTGCTGGGAAGGACCTTGGCTGTCCTGGAATTTTCTAGAAGACCCCCCTCTACATATCCTGAAGAGGAGATGGGAGTTTCAGAGGAAACAGTGTGTGTAGGGAGCCCTAGGAAGAAAAGGAAGCAGAAAGACATAGATAGTGATGCTGTATAGACCTAATTATGCTAGTGTTGCCTCTTTCCAATGGAGAGTTAAAATAGTTAACAATTCTGACCTTGACTCTCAAACAGAAGGAAGCTCTAGGTTGTCCTTGGTCCCACCCAACACAAATAAGACTGTCTTGATATTTAAAAGGCAACATATTGACTTGAATCCTGGTAGTGGCCTATCCTGAGAATCAGTGTTATTTAATAAAAATAACTTGTTTTGGAGTCCTGGTAAGCTGGATTTCAATCTGAGCCCTTTTAATGACCTGCTGTACACCTTGGATAAGTAACTTGGATAGCTAACTTTACCCTTCAGTGCCTTAGCTTCTGTTATCTGTGAAAGCGACAGACAGTAGCAGCTACCCTGCAGAATATCATATCTTGTCTTTTCTCTATCCCCTTCTTTCTCAACCCTGCCTTATTTCAGCTGAGGCCCTTGGCCCCATTTGCAAGCTTGGACTCTGGC